ATATATATATATATATATATATATATATATATATATATATATATATTAACCTGATATGCACTATCGAATAACGGAAAAAGTCTTTTTTCCTGTATCACATCAGCAATTTTAGTCCATTGCTTTGGAGTTGGATCGCACCCGGTAGGATTATGTGCACATGAATGTAGAATAATAACAGCATTTTCTGGAGCTTCTCGTAAATCATGGAGCATTCCTTCTAAATCGATATTACGAGTCTTTTCATCCCAATATGTATATTCATGAGCGTTTTTAAATCCTCCATTAGTAAATACCAGTCTGTGATTTTCTGCCAGCACATAATCTTACACAATACACACAAATTTTTACTAATAGATGGAATAAAGATAACATACTATTTTTTAAAATTTATTTACCCCAAGAAGGTTTACTATAGTAGAAGGTATCGTAATGTAGAATACGACTCAAAAATTCAGCGGCAACCCGCAGTGCCCCGGTACCAGAAAGCGACTGAATACCAAAGGCTCGTCCTTGTGCAATAACAGGAGAATTTGCACCTAACAACATACTTGTAGCAGCTTCACAGAATGCTTCTAAGCCAAGAACTGGTAAATATTCATGATTTTGTAAATCATCGGCAGCAAGCAACTTCTCTACCTTTCTTACAACTGGCAGAACCCATGGTTTTCCTTCATTAGTACGATAAGCTGAAAAAGATTTGGATATTTTCTATAATTCATTGCAGATAGCACTTGAGCGCATATTCAATTGAGCATAAATTGCAATGAAAGATATATGAATTAGATTTATAGTAAAATTTATATTTCAAAAATAAAAATAAACTTGTAAAAATAGAGAAATAAATTTTTTGAATAATATTTACTTTTGACATTATAGATTTGGTAATGTTTTTATTTATCATAATTTTATTTATTTTCTTAAAATATTTCAGTTTCAACTTTGTGTGATATATGCAATTTTGTACAAGTGTGCATTTGTATACGAGTAATATGGAATATTATGTAATCAAGTCTGGAGGTGATCCTCAAGGGTACAAAGTAAAAACGAGAAAATATAGAAAATTTGTTAATTTGTTAAAATATCGATTATACTAAAATATGCTCATTGATGTTAGCATATATTAATAATAGAACACTAATTTTTTTTCAAGTTTGCTAAAAATATAAATGAATTTATGAATCTATATGCATGAAAATAGAAGAATAAAATAGTCTTAAATATAATAATTATAAAAAATAAAATAGAGTTACATACCTCCTACGAGAAGATTAACTTTATTTTCATAAGTATCATCGACAAATGTTTTTTGCAACGCAAAAACCTCGATGGGAGGTCCCAATTCTATTCCAGTGAACCTGGTATTCATGTTGCTAAGGCAAATAAATAACAGGACTGAGATGAAGTCAACAATATTAAATGAAGATATTAAATGAAGAAAAAGAATTTTTGTGAAAAGTGTAAGTGTAATGCGAAGAAAAATATGTTTGAGTAAGTAAAGCGATGTCGAGACGAAGTCACGCGCGAAGATTGGCGAAGTAACTGTAGACTGTAACTTGATTGTGTATATATGCATATGTATATATTATATATGCCAGAATTTTTGTATACTACGGTACTGATTGACGTAAGTAGCTATTTCATGAAACTCATATACTGCTCTTTTTCATACCGTGCGATGTGCGGTGATTCTCAGTGGGTGCAACCAGTACTGTAACCACTCCTTCACCAAGCGGTAAAATAAAAATTGAACATAATTGTTCAGGATTTAAAGATAAGAATAATTAATGTTTATTACTTACTTAATGTTTATGTAATCGTTCAACGAGCGATCGCAATACCGAGGTCTTATTTTCGAATTATATCCATATATTTCGTATACCTATCGTATACGAAAATCTATAATATGCGTAACGTATATTATGGGCGATATTCATAGTCAGTTCTTATATTTAAGATCGTCTTAAGATTACATTACTGAACTCTATGGCTAAATCTATAATATGCGTGACCTGAACTATATATTTTCAGTACTGGCAGTGTATTCACTGCCAGCAATATCGGAACGCAGCACGCCAAATTCCATCTCCCTACCATCGGTGATTTGTTTCTTCGTTTTACATAAGTACAGCTAGAGAGAAGCCTGAGAGAGACCATCCCGGCCTTTTTCGTGGGACCGTCAAAATCCCCTGTATGTACACTACCGCCACTACGTCCACGTATACGATGTGACGTGTTTTCTCTGTCAAGCCTACCAACGTCGGCATATATACATACGTACGTATGTGCATACATATTTGAGATCGAGAATTCCTCCTAGCAGTTGTTGCCTGTGCGAGCATAGCCCGTTCTCGGTTTTTCGAGGTGACGTATGTTCCGTCTGTACCGGTTTCGTTCACTTTCGTCTGGTATACGGACAGATGATCATTTGTGATTCGATATTACTGTCTCGTCATTGGCAATATACCAATTACCATGATGCGAAACATGTTAAAACATGAAGGTATTTTTTTACGTTTCTATGCATTCTCAATTTTGGAACTGGTCTGTATTTTCATATCGGTGAAACTGAGCGGAAATGCTTCATCGAGGAGATTCCCGATGATACTACGGTCTTAGGTAAGATTCAAGGCCAAGTATTTCATTATTTCAACAATTTTCAATTATTGATATCGGAGAGTATGTGAAACCCTGCAACTAGGAATCATATCAATTACGTGTAGAGATTTTCTTTAGCACGCGTGTCTACTTTCCACTTTCATCCTTCATTCATTCCAATATTTTCTTTAAATATTTTTTACAACTTTGCAGTCAATTACAAAGTGGAACTTTTCGACCCAAGAAGTGGTGGTTTTATGCCAAGTAGTCCTGGTATTGGAATGCATGTCGAGGTAAAAGATCCCGACGACAAACCTATCCTCTCTCGAGTTTATAGTTCCGAAGGTCGCATTTCCTTCACTTCGCATACTCCAGGAGAGCATGTAATCTGCTTGTATTCAAACAGCACCGCCTGGTTTAGTGGTACCCAATTGGTAAGATATGTGTATATTGTAAAAAGATTATCATGTCAAGCCTATATGCAAGAAATATAAAAAAGATGGGGCATATATTAATTTAATTATGTTGAAAATTAATTTTTATTTACATAGAGAGTACATTTGGATATTCAAGTAGGGGAACATGCGATTGATTATGCTAATGTAGCACAGAAGGAAAAATTGTCAGAACTTCAACTTAGAATACGCCAGCTCTTGGACCAAGTCGGACAAATAACCAAGGAGCAAAATTACCAAAGAGTATAAAGCAAAATAAACATGTTTTACACAAAGCAATGTCATGAGAAAGAACGGAGGGTTATTGTGTGAATTTTTATAATTTTTCAGTATCGGGAAGAGCGCTTCAGGCAAACATCTGAAAGTACTCATCGTCGTGTATTCTGGTGGTCTCTGACGCAAACTGTAATTGTTCTGATTATGGGTGCATGGCAAATGAAGCATCTTAAGAGCTTCTTTGAGGCAAAAAAATTGGTTTAACTGTTCTGTATATGTGTGATGGGAGAGATGTATGCTAGTTTCATCAGCAACAGTATCATTCATATGTCTAAATTTTATTTAAAACACATTTGTTAGACAATTCTCATTGTAATACTTGAGCACTGTGCTTGTCGAATTGATATATTTGTATAAAATTACCAGTTATTTCTTAAAATATGAATAAATTTTTTGTGATTATATATACAATTGTGTAATACGTATAAATTGTGAGAATAAAATATATATAAGATATAATTAAATAAAATATTTCTTATTAGATTCTTTTTCATTTCGATAAAATTTTGACCATACTTATATCATTTGTGATCTCAATATTAGAATCCTTTTATACATACATACATACATACAATATACACACAGATTTACGAATGCTTAACTAGTTTTCCTTTATAGAAATTAAAACTTTTTTGCAGAATATTTATCTTTATATTCTTTTGGATAAGATACAAAATACGTATGTATGCATGTATCACATGCAGACTATGTTCCAAAATTATCAGTACTGAAAATGTATTACGCATAACGTAACACACTGTAATGTAATGTACGTAAACTATTAATTTTCAATGTGACAGTAAATTTTACAGTCACAAATACAATACAATTATCATCATAGGTCTGAATTCAGAAACACTAGATGTATATGCATCATTTCATTCTTGTTGTTTATCAAATGTTAAATAAGGATAGAATAATACTTGATAGAGACACTACATCAGAGATTGGTCACAAAAAAGCAACTTTTGATTGGTCCGCCATCTTTTGGCTATTCTCATTTATTTTCAAATACATTAACTACATTAATCTTAAATTGTAATATAATATATACTATTATACTTTAAAAACATAACCGTTTTAAAGGTAATAAAATGTGTATATTTATAAAACTTTATTTTACATTATATTATCAATTTATTAATATATTCCTTTAATTTTAACAATTTTAAATTTATTATTTTATATTTATTTATCTTTTTATTTATCTTTTTTTTGCCATTTATCCTTTTCAACACAAGAGCAAGAATTAATACAATACTATTATATTACTGTTACATTATAATATTTTTAACTTTTCGATACACAATTATCAAAACGATCCTTTGTGAAATCAATATAATGACAGCTATTCACAAAGTTAGCGCAACGAGAGAACCCATCGCGGAAAAGAAGTGGCACCCGTTTGATCATGTCCTGATTGACCACTAGCCACTCACAGGGACCGGCGAATTTTTCCACTGTTCAAGCGCTGTGCAACGATTTTATTATTATCAATCACATTGACTATAACCAGGATCTGCTACATTGTGATTGACTAAAATACAATCGTCAACCGGTAACCGTAGCTGGGCAATCGCTAATCTATGGCCTTAAAGTCTGTTCTACAATGAGTCGTGTGTCGGTGTCATTGGCCGTAAGAATGGACCAATCACAATCAAGTATTCTTCCCACATTTGTCTGTGATTGGTGAACAATTCTTGTGGCTTGCGGCTTGCAACACCGATATATGACGTATTGTAGACCAAGCCTAAAGGCTATATCAGACTAGCGGTTGCCCGGCTACGGTTGCCGGTTAACGATTCTACTATTACCAATCACATTGACTATAACCAGGATCTGCTACATTGTGATTGGCTGAAATAGAATCATCGACCGGCAACTGTAGCCGCGCAACTGCTAATCTGATATGGCTTTAATACATTACGCATAAGAAAATGAACCAATCAGAATTTTTCATTTCCATTGTGGGGGAATAGAAATGAAGGACTATGATTGGTTCATTTTCTTATGCGTTATGCAGAAGTGTGTGTTCCGGCCTTTAGGACTATGCTGTGCCAGCGACATGTAGCGTAAAGTATATGCAGGTAAAATAATCTACATATATATATCGTGCAAACCTTGTACTACTGTACATTCGATCATTGATTTACTATTGATCATTTTCAAATTTTTAAAAGAAATGGTAAAGTGTAGAATCTGTGGCTGTAGCGATTTTTATAAAGCATCTGGTTATTTTTTTTGTACGACATGTCAAACACAAAGCCAGGTAAAAATCACAAAAAATATGACTACTCAGACGATGAGTTTGAAAAAAAAATCTGTGAAAAAGAATTTGTGTTATAATTTAAACATTTACTCGAAACATTCCTCTAGGACGTCGGGGAAGAAGTAGAATTGGAATTACCCATAGAAAATACTGTAAGATTGCGGAAGACAAAAATTCATCGTATGACAAATAACAAAGCAGGTTTATCTCTATCTTATATAATTTTACAAGAGAATAACATGTAATATACCAATGAAGATGTAATGAAACATGTTTGAATTTAACATATTGTCAATAAGATATGGGGCTGATATTTTATTGTATGCAGATGAGGAACTTGGCTGGACATCTTGGGAACTATATAATTTTGTTTTAATCGGTTTGACAAATGAGCTTATCGAACTTGGTGTATCCTCTGATATAAAAATAACAGTGTTACAATTATGGGCCCGCTACCTTGGAAAACTAGAAGTAGCTTTTATATCTGCAAAAAAGAAATTAATACCCAAACTGGCAAGAAGATATAAGAAAAGGTCATTATAACATATATTATAGCATATATAAATCATCTGTCTTCAATATTAAGATTGTACACAAATGATTATAATTTTTTAAATGTGAAATACTTATTTTGATCTTTTGTGCTTTTATCTCATCTAAATTTTCTCTGTTTAAAAATTTTATTTCAAGCATTGACAAAAATCAGCTATACAAATTCAAATTAATGCTGTTGAGAATAATATGGATAATGATATTCGTAACACACTTTTTCAGGGATGCTGAAATTATATATGGCAAAGTTTTGTCACAAAAGAGTGCCAGAAAACGAAAGAAAATTGGAAGTAGCATAGCAGATTCTACAGCTTCTACCTATCCAAGTCAAGAAACTTCTTTGAGAGAATTAAATAGAAACAAAGTATGGTAAACATAATTAATTTAAAAAATTTAATTTTTGAAAATTTTTATTATTAATACAATCTACCTTGTGCATAGAAACTCATGATTACTGCAGATTATGATAGATTTATGTCACAAACAAGTTTTGAAGGAGATGCACTTAGTACATTTAGTCAGAGTGTATATAGTGGATATTCTAGTTCAGGACAATCTCGTGAAAGTACAAGGTAAAGAAACAAGTATAAAAGTATTGAATTAAGTAAAATATATTAAAGTATAAAGTATATTATGATTATACTCCCTATTGCCCTTTGATAATTATTCATCTATATTATATAATACAGGTTACAGTTTAATTCTTCTGCTAAAGAGGAAGCAAACAGAATAAAGAATATGGCAAAAAAACTATCAAGACAGAAGCGTAATAAATACAAACAAAGTCATATAACAACTCGATATAAAACAGGGCCAGAATTGATTACACCTACGAAATTGTGGGCAATCTTATATCTGGCTTTAAGAATTCATAATCAAGATATACATTTGAGTGATATGATAAGGTAATTTAAATTAGATAATTTGTTCCTCGTTTCTAATGTAAGCTTTTTTTCTTTTAAAGACTCATTTTGTATCACTGTAAAAATAAATATCTTGTATTAACATTTTCTTCTTAAATGTTATGTCTTAGCAGAAGTATTTATAACACATTTTTAATACATTTTATCATATATTTTGTACGATTTTCACACACACGCGCGCGCACATACATATATATATATATATATATATATATATATAT